AGGGAAGCGAAGTCCAGAAGTAGGCTACTCTGGCCATAGACAACTGCAAAACACTCACAAGCTTCATAAATACACAACAGAGAAAAACACTGTGCTGAGCTATCACTTTTTTCTACAAAATGCAATAATCATGGAGAACAAAACACTGGGGAAAGAGGGAAGAATTGTGCAAGCAAACATGACCCTCACATTACGAGAATTCCTGGATACTGATCTGGCTATCGAAAATACCTTGCAGAATCAGCCATGTGCGCAGAAAATTGTGCAAAAACATCAGGCTACTCTTCCGGGTCTCAGCAGAGGCAACTACAAGTGACCAAGGACAGAGAAGCTCTCCTGACAAAGTAACGTTACCACTGGAAGGTCAAGAAAAATCTGGAGGCATAACTTACTGCTAAGATGTGGGACCAGAAACCCAGGCATGCTTAGTGGAACTCAGGTAACTCCATGGTGGGGAGAGCAAGTTAAAAGCCAGGTGATGTATATATCCTGAAGAGCAGACCTGGCTGTGCAGGATCAACAATAAAAATTGTCTTTGGCCTTGCCCTGCAACAGATCACATGTGCTTGTCACACAAGTGTAGCATCCTTGAACAGCAAGAGACTTCCAGGCATATAGTTCCACCCATCAGTTGTGGTGATGTTTTTTTAAGCAAGCAACCCACTGGACACTACAGATCTTGATGGTGCTTGTGCATCAGATTTACATTAGGAAGCTGGTACCAAGCTGTTACACATCAGGACCATAGCTCAAGCAGAAAAAAACATTACTGCTTGCTAGAAGTTATAACTGATTAAAAACATAATTAAGGATTTTTTTTTTTTTAAATGGAAAGCTGTATATCAGTTCTGAATTTACACTTACGTATGTCATTCCAGGACAAGGAGATCTGCCCTTAATTCCCTGCACTAAATTTCTCAAAAAAGAATTCCCTCAGCATACACAGAAAACATTTTGCAGCGCTCAGCAAGCCACCGCAAGGAACAGGGGAAGTTCCCTGCCTAGCACGGGACAGCCATCATCTCTCAGGCACAAAAAAGCTCTGCTCTGCTAACAAGCATTATAGCAATGCTGGATGCGACTGACCCACAGCAAAAGTCTTCTCTACGAGGGAGTTGCTGGCTGCCCTACCTCTCAGAAAATCTGGCTGTAACCTAAAACCCTAGAGAGGAACAAGTCTTCTATGAAGCCTGCCCTCCGCTGTTCACAAACTTTCAGCTAAGGAGACTCAGCAACAATTTTCCTTCCTGATTATTGATACAAGTTCCAAGTCCAAGCCAGGACAACAGCAGCTGACACTCAAAATTTTCGAGTCCAGCCTCCCAGAAATAGCTCAATTGGGCCTAACTGCCTATTTTTGGAAAACACCCTCTGGTCCACTCAGTAATCAGAGTATGAAAAATATAAAACAGCTGAAATTTACAAATTAAACAATAGTAGCTTCACTCCTGTTAGGCTTTCAAGCTGGGGAGGGAAAAGGGAAAATAGCTCAGTTTTCCATGCTAGCATTGGTTTAGCCTATCAAGTAGAAAAGCTGATAGTTATTCCAGGAAGAAGAGTAGAGAAATAAACGTTTCTGGAAGAAGCCTCTCACAGCTTTCCAATGGGAGGTGTAATCCATCCCCAGTCTCACTAAGCTATAGCTTGGTTACCACTGAGATTGGGCTTGTTTACTCCAAAGCAAAAAGCTTGGCATGACTGACAGAAACAGCTTTTCTTGCCAGAGCTCTAATAGCAAATGTCTGTGGAAAAGCCGCTTGGAGAAGTGCTGTTTACTCTGGTAATGAAGCAAGTTCTCCGGAATGAAGTCTTGCAATCTTCCCAAGAGATGTTGCAATACATTTACCTGTACCTCAGCTACATACCATACAAGCTGCTTTCAAAGTCTGAGAACTACTTGCAAAGTCAGGAGGCCAAGGCAAATTCATCTCAGCTACTCTGGACAGGACTACACTCTGCTACACTGGGTACACAACTTGGGTCCTAATTAAAATTGGTTGTGCATTTTGGTTTGGTTTTTTTTCTCTCCCCTGCTTCAAGCTAAGCCACAGCCAGTGACACCTCTTGCATATGCTTTCACAAAAAGGGCCTCAACACAAAGTTCTCAATCATCTGCTTTATAACTGTGGTTTTAAAGCCAAACACTGCCTTGACGCTCATTTTTTCAGGCAACTCTCAACTTAGACCCCCGCTCACTGCTAGACATGTTTAGAGGGAACATCAGCACACAGTTCAACTAATTACCTGGGGAGGAAAAGGAATTCAAGGTAGACTGTGGAGGCCAAGGCTCCCTTTCTGTTTAGGGAGTCACTGACCTGAGGCTATTCTGCTTTTCCTCATTTATTTAAGAGCAAGTTTCAAGCCGCTGTCCAACTCCTCTCTGACTGCACAGAGAGTAAAGGCTCTCCCCTCTCCAATAGTCCTTGCTCTTTAGTCCAGTGCAAAGGGCCACTCATTTGCTCAAACTTCAGTTTAAGATTTTGCTTCCAACCAGGTGGCTCACTTAGCCCCTCCCTAATCCAGTAACTGAAGGATTCCTTTGTAGTTGAATTAAGTGGACTTCCTACAGAAACAAGTACTTGCATTTGCACATTTTGTTTACAAACAACTTGCACTCTTGTGAGAGCACCAAGCTCATACTTGACACATGGCTATAGTTCTTCACAGCCATACTTTGTGCTCTGAAGTGTTGAAATTCCTGCTTTGAGGAGAAACCGAGCTCTAATTTCATGTGTTTACATGTACTCCCAAGAGAAAGAAAAAAATCTTACCATGATTAGGTTATGTAAAAAGTTTAATTATAAAATAAATAAGTTTGTTATGGAAACATTAAATATTAAATACAGTAATAAATATTTACACATTTACAGATATGACTTAACAATTAATGGGTGTTTCTCTGCTACCAGAAGAATTCTGCTCTGTTTATACAGAACACATTCACTCTTCCAAGAAGAAACTGAACTCAAATAATACTCTGTGCTCAAGCCTGCATGGACAGTTCAAGAAACCAAGGACACTTGGGTCAGAAAAGTTTGAGGTAAGTTGAGTTCTTCGCACCGAAGGTAGAGCACAAGAGACCACTGCTTACAGAGTGTCAGTGCATGAATTTAATTCTTCACAGGAACAGGTTCTCAGTCAAGTTCAACTGACTGGATCTCATGTGAAGCATTTTATACTTTAAGTGCTGCTTAAAGCAGCATCAAGTATCTGGGTAACAGAAGTAGCTTTGTGTTTATAACAGATGTGTCCAAGCTTATAAGCTTGTTTGAGCATGGATCTTTTCCTTCAGATACAGAGCTTCAGATCTTGCATTTACTGTCTCAGCATCCTGAGGAGACTAATTCTAACTCAGGCTAGCGCACACGCAAATGGATAGCTCCACTCACACAACAAGTCCTACTGAATTCAGAGGGATTACTTTCCACACATACAGTAACAGAACCCAGGTGTGGCTGACAAAGATCTGTCACCAACACCCTGCAAGTCAGAACTAGAGATGAAGTTCTTTGAAGCTGATATCAACAGTGAGCACAGTGACAGCAGAATTAGGTTTTTCATCCACTGAGGTCTAGGGATGGAAGCCATCCAGAGCTCTTCCCTCTTCCACTTTGGGAGAGAGAACGGAATTTTCTCCCCTGCATCCATTCCAGAAAGCTACAACAAGCTCTCTCCCTTAGAGTCACAGAGCTGCCAAAGGAGACTTGCTAACAGAATAAAGTCCATCCACACAACAGCAGAGACTGGAGCTCCAGGACTGATAGAGAGGGCTCGGTAGCAGTAGTCTCTAGCAGGTCTTGATAGCAGGTCCTCTACCCCACAGCAGAAGCTCCTTCCATATCATTGTGCCAAGATGTAGTGGTAACTGTCCTCCCCAGCAAGCAATTCAGCAGCAAGTAGCATATTGACATCTCCTTGCAGCAGCCTCTGTCTTGATGAATCAGGGCTTAGTGGCAACAGCTCCAGCCCACAGTGTCCAGGTGGATGTGTCAGGTAGCCAGAGGTACCCTGCAGCTTGGCAGTGGCCACATGAGAATTGTTCTGTAAGGGGCAGACCAGGGACATTAATCACCACCCAAGGTATGAGCACTCTGCACTAGAACCACATCAAACCTACACCTGAGGCAGGCAGGTTAAGGATGTGCAAACACCTGAGGACACTCTGCTAGACACTCTTCAGCTTCAAGTAAGCTTTGGGCAAAACACTCCAATTGTCACTGGACAAAGCTGGACAATGTCTATAGCTGACATGTGGCAAAGCAAAAATCCCAAGTTCTGCCAGAACTTCTCAGGACTATCCTTTATGGTTTCCTCCTTCAGCTCGCAGTATAACTCCTATTCAGTAAGGGTCCTCAAGTCTGCTGTTAGGTACACTTTCGCTCAGAAGAAACCAACTTGCTTGCTCATTAAAATCCACTAGGTTTCTCCCAGGCATGATCCACCAAGGAGCTTTAGCACTCAGTTGCTATGACAATATGAAACTTGACTGAGAGGCTAACCATGGTGCTCAGAGAATTGGCAGCTTGGTCTTGGTTTACAGCCCCTAAGCACCAGAAACTTCCTGATGCCTTGCAGAGAAGACATGAAAATGCTCAGTACTTCTCTTATGAGGGGTGATGATTCACTTGGCTGCTGCACCATCTTCCATGATGGAAGTCTACCATGCTTTCTTGCACTAAACCTGCCTCTGCCCAGGTATTCAGGATTTTTTCTTCACAAGTCCACTTATCTCAGTACAGCTTCCTACCCTCACTTCTTATTGAAGACAGCAGCCAGAAAGTTAACAGAGCTGTTAAAGAACTAGCACAACTCGGGTGATTTTGGGAAAGCAGAAAACCAAGCCAGTCATTCACATGTAACCTATGTGTTTCAACGCACTTCAAGTGTTAAAAACAAACACTAGCTTTGCAAAACATGCATGCAATTCTCACATGGCTAACTCCAGCCTGGAAGGACTGGAAGGCATTTCCAATCAGCTTTCATACCTGCTTTCTCCCCATTTACACACCAACATGGCCATTTCTGTTTTCTTGTCGAAGTTTTTTCCTTTCTTCTTTCTCTTCATACTGAGGACACTTTTTCCTGACCCTGTGGAATTACAGCACGTTAGAGGTCATTTTGAACCTTGACATACATCCTGTTGTTTCCAGCCCCCACATCCTCTGCAGCATTTAGACTCGAGTCCTTTGAATCCTCAGGCAACTCCTCAGCAGCAAGAAGTTTCAAGCAAGGCAGTTTTTAAGCATTCAGCATCAAGCAGTATCTGACGATGAAGTCAAGGAGCCCCTGAGTTAGGCACTGCCAGTTTTGCCTCACAGAGCCAGGGCTTCTTGGCTTAAACCCATTTGGGTAACAAGATGAAGAGGGTTTATGGATGGAACTGCGCAAAGCGCCAGGAGGCTTCCTGGGGGACAGATTTCCTGGTGGCTTTAGTAAATGGCTGCAGGGACCAGACTGCCTTCCTCCTCCCCACAGCAGAGCCCTGCAGACTTCAAGTATCTGAAGTTCCCATCCCCTTGATGTGTCCCTTGAACACATCGTAAGCAAGCCACTAACTGATTTTCCCCCACTTTATCCAGTCTTTTCTAGTGACTGATCCAAACCGACCACCTACCTTGTCTGGATTAAAGTACAGACTCATGAACCTCAAGCTCATGAGAGTTCAGAGCACGAAACAAGTACAATCCTATTCCATGGCTCACTCCAGAAACTAACAATGATCATTTACTCTTACAGCACTACAGAACTGGTTATCTCTCCTAGCAGCAAGGAATGAGGCAGTGTTCAGAGAACAAGCGTTCATCCCAGCATTCCTCAAGTTCAGATCTAAATATGAAGCAACTGTGAAATGACAAATGCACACCTTGTTTCCTGAATTGCAGGAAAGAGTACAGCACGTACCCAATTCAGTTGATGTACTGCATCAGGACCTAAAATTAGACTGAACTTTTGAGTTTCACCTACAATATCTCAAGCCCTAATGTGGTGGAGCTGCAGTGTCAGAACTGGAGGACTGCTCCAATACTCAGGAAACGCTGGAGTCTGGCTTCCTGTGCTGATTACCTAACCTGAGCACAAACTCCCAGCAAACACACAGGCAAGAAGCAAAGGCACAGGCAAGCACAAGCTGCTGCATACTGCGTTTTAGCAGGTGCAAAGAATACTTCGACATATGGCTTGAAACATGTATCCAGAAAAGCTCTTCTGGTTTATTCACAACAGGACCCCAGATTCTGGTTACCCACCACACTAAACTGTCAGCAGTTGGTTAGGCTGGAATGGTTGTTCCCTCCATCTTAACAGGAAGTAGCACAGTACTTGGGACTGACAGCATTGACTTCCCCATCTGCTTCCCTCCCCAGTGTTAAGTATTTAAGCCCAGCAACGTCCATTAATAAACGGACAGTTGGAGCACCTTTTCCTTCCCTCCAGCTGTGTACCCAGTTGTTGGATAATAACCAAGAGTGAGGCTGTTACATTACTGCTTGCAGGCTTCTCCACAAGGATTAGGGCAGGCTCTGCTGTGTCAGCATTAACGCTCCTCCTCCACTTTCTGCTGATGTTCTGCACCACTCTAACTATCCCGGTTGTAGCAAGAGCAGAAAGGCTCTTTTTTTCCAAACGTAAGGGTCACAGGCTGCCCATAGCCAATAGCGAGACAGGGTAAGTGAACACTTAAGTCACTTAGGAACTCCTCAGACCTTGCTTCTACCCTCAAGACATATCCAAGCTGGGATAAGAACTCAGCCCTTTTGGATGCCTTCCACACAGGTAATTCAGATGACACATGCACGTTTTGGGTCTACTGGACACAAGACCTGCTTACGCTTAAGCTAGACAGACACCAAAGAGTATAATACTTACTGCACTATCACAATGATAAGTACAGTAATGAAGCTGATGCTTGAGAGCAGGACAGCGACCACTACCAACACAGTCTTCGAGTAGTCTGCCACATCATTCTTCCTTTGAGTCTTCATGAACTGTTCACCACAGCGCTCACCAAAAAAATCCTGATGACACCTGCAAGTAAACATGAACACAAGTTCTTATCAGCTCCGGTGCTGTCTGGAGCCAAGGACACCCACACACATTCAAACCTGACTTAGACATCTTCAGAGTTTCCCATGAATCTCAAGATGCTCGCTTCAGAGCGTGTTCATGAAACGCAGTCACTGCTCTAGCACAAGGTTTGTCAGCATTTCAACAAGTCGAGATTAGTTTGGGCGTGATGTTCCAGGAAGACACGCCTTTTCATTCTTTTGGTTTGAGTTTATGACCAACTGATGAGTTCAGTGGCTTGTTATGCATCTCAGATTCCATCATCACTTAATTTACATGGCAGAAAGATTCTCAGTCAAAATATGGCAGGAGATGGATCTATGCCAAGTTGACACTGATTTTTCTCTGAGCCCTCATACGCCACTGGCTCATGCCAATCACACCTAACTCACAAGGTTCAAGTAACTTACTTGCAGGTCACCATCTGGAGATGTTCTAGGTATATGCATTCACCATGGATGCAAAAGTTTTTGTATTCCAATTCACAAGGAGTCCCTTTCTTTTTGTTTTTCCCTTTGTTTTTCTTCCTTCTTGATTTGCCAGCATTCTTCTCACCCCCCCTCTTTGTTGGCTTGGGTTTAACCACAGGTTCAACTGAAAAAAGGACAAGATGACTCAGTCTAGCAATGCTAAAAAGCTAGATTCTGCAAAAATTGAATTACAGAATTTGGTGAGGGGTAGGGGCATGGTCACTGCAGGAGAATCTGTGACCAGGAAGCATAGGATGCAAGGGAGCATGCAGCTGGGCCTGTCACACCCAGCACAAAGGCAGCAAGCTTAGAAGCTCATGAAGCACAACTCTGCCACCGTTAAGTCCTGTGCAATGCAGGCCAAAAGCAGTACGAGCAGATGAGCTGAGAGAGCCACCAGAGATGAAGAACAGCAGAGCTGAAGGACTGCAGCATTTCAGAGCTTAAGATACTTGAATGAAACTGTGCAGGCCCAAGCATAGACCTGTAAAGAACACAGAGTTCACGCTGAGCCAAGCCATCCAGCAGTTATATCAAGTCAGATAAAAGGCGAACAGCCTCCATGGCTCTAAACTCTCCATTTGCATCCGTGATGAAAGGCATTATAACTCGCTAGATAGTCCTGGGCACTTGCAGAGGCAAGACGGCTTGCTATCCCAGTTAGCATACTTGTTTCTCCCAAATAACCTGCAGTGCTGTCTTCAGCAGAAGGTAGTTCGTTTCCAGTTCTCCTACTTTGAGAGAAATGCCGAGTGCACCGAAGGAGCGAAGGCAGGATAGTTTGCAAGAGTCGAGTTATTTGTTCTGCCGCTTACTGTTGCCCCTCATTATCTCAATTAAGACAACCTCTAGAAGAGTGTGGTTTGAAATGCTGGTGACTTAGTAGCCTTTGGATTTAAGCAAGGGCAATCATCTTCCTTTCACTGGGGAGAACAAGCTGAAGTCAGTCACTGACTAAAGGTCATAAGCTCCGTGGCTGCTCCATGCAGGTGTCAAAGCTCGATAGCATGGTTCTAGAGCAAGTTGGCAAAAGACCGGTTCTCTGAAAAAGCCATCCCTTTAACGCTAGCCATAAAGCAAGTCTTCAGTGCAACACTGTGCTATTCAGGAGTAACTGTTAACCAGGTGAGTTTGAACAGGTCTTAAGAACAGCAGAGCTATTTACAATACTCTACCATTTCCCTATTGTGCTCTGCAGACCCAATGAACATTATTTTTGGAGTATTAATATTTTACCCAGAGCACTACACATATAGGCAATCACCACAACAGGACACAACTGGATTTGACTACTTCATAACCCTGTATTTCTAGTGACAAGGCGAGAGCCTGCACAAAGAAACAAGGTGTAGTTCACTGTTGTCTAGACAGCTGATTGTTTTAACTTCTAGAGCAACAAGCCTGGCTTGAAGTTACTTAAAAGCAAAAACGCCTTCAGCAACCAGAACTCTGATTCAAATGGTATAAACTATATTAATATGTAAACGAGGAACACTGTTCCTGCAGCAAGGTTTCCTGTCCCTAGAAGTGTGAGCTTACCACCAACAGCCGAGGCCCCTATTCTGTCCAGTTCGACTTGCTATTTAGGTTCACACTTTCATAATTGAGGCCGTTTCCATTATTCCCTCTTCAAGGCTCAGCATGTCAGTTTGATCTCCGTGTCCCTGTCTGCAAGCTGCATAGCCAGGAAAGCCATCCGCAGCTGAATCATAACAGCTTGAAGGCTCCACAGATAAACCTCATGCCAAGTAGAAGAGCTGGTCTACAAACCAACCACGACTGGTAACAATTCTGGTTTCTGTGCAGTTATACAACACTCAAGTCACCAAGCCAGTAGTTTTACAGGACTAACTGCTCAGTAACTCTGACATTCCTGTTTACCCTGGGGGTCTTCAGCTGATAAAAAACTTCAGCAAGGGTCCATAAGTTCCCCAGACTGAACATCTGGAGCATGGTGCCCCTTCACCTAAGAGGTCCTTTAGTCTCATTCAAGTCTCAGGGTGTTCCCACAGGAAGAAAAAGAGTAGCCAGATCCACCCTAGAAGGCAACAACACCAGCCTACTAACATCTACAGAGGTTCAAATCACTCACCGGTACCTGGCTTGTATTACAACTGCACTTAGGCCAGAACCAACAAAATCCTCCCATCCCCATTGTCATATGGGCTATTCAGATCTCCTCACAGCTTAACAAGTGGACAAATAACAAAAAAATCACACAATAGCTATTGATAGTGAAGTATTGCCTGAAAGGTGCTTAACAAACTTTCCTCCAGCCTCTTAAGGGGGTTTAAGTGTCTGCTTTCCCATGAAATGTTAGTCAATTCCAACCCAAAGAATCCATCATGAGAAAACACCCAGGAAATCCTTGGAGCAAGAGAGGCAAGGTGTATAAATCCCACCTTTAGGGCCACACAGCACCCATAAACCCCACTGATGCTTCCATGCTAAGCAGGTGGCAGCTACCCGATCACAGCCCTCCTGTCAGGTTTATCGGGAGGAGAGCAGTACAGCAGGCAGTCAGCTCACCTGCAGCTTCCACACACCCCCGTCGCACTCACCCCAAGTTTTCAACCCCGTCAGCCTATTTTAAATGCAACAGTTTCGAGCAGAAGCACTCTTCTGCTCCGTACTCTACCAGCTGAGCGCAGCAGCCTTACGAGAGACAGAAGTCAGAAAGAAGTCGGTGCCCGCCACCGGAGAGCCCCCGGCCCCGCCGAGCTGAGAGCCCACCTCACACGCGGCCCCGGCCACCGGCGGGCTAGCCGACTCACCTCGGATCAAGTCGTCCACGATGTACTGGTGGACGGGCAGCGTCTCCTCATACTCCTCATCCTCCTCGTAATCGGGACCCGACACGGCCTCACCCTCGCGGGCCTCGGGCTCCCGCTGGCCGGGGTCCCCGCGCCGCTCCGGCTCCGTAGCGTTGGGGGAAGACCCGGCGACAAGCCGGAACGCTGTGAGACAAAATGGCGCCGTGGGCAAGGGGGCAAAGCGACCGCCGGCGCGCGACCCCCCCCCC